CCCCCCACCCTCACCCCCACCCCCATCTCCTGCCACCTGAGGGTGTACTGGACTTAGTGGATCACTTCCAAAGAATACAGTATGGAAATGGGAAAAAAATGTAACATTACATTGGAGAAAACTGCCGCCATCACTTCAGCCATGGGATCAAGGTTAACTTCACTAGTGATGTCATGTGGCTGTCAGGTATCCTTGATATGATGTAATGAGGGCACTTCACCTCTGGTATTCTTTCTGAAAACCCATAAGCTCAGAGTAATCATGAGAAAATACATTAGACAAACTCAAATTGAGGAATGTTCTACAAAATACCTAACTAGTACTCCTCAAAACTGTCAAGGTCATGAAAACCAAGGAAAGACTGAGAGACTGTCACAGACTAGAGGAGACTAAGAAGACGTGATTAAATGCAATGTTGTATCTTGGACTGGGTTCCAGAACAAAAATAAGACATTGATGGAAAAACTAACAAAATCCAAAAAAGTCTGGAGTTTAGTTAATAAAAATGTACCAAATGTTTTTTAGACTTGACAAATAATGTAAGGTGTTAACATTATGGGAAACTAAAACTGGGTGAGGAGTATACAGGAACTCTCTAAAATTTCTGCAACTTTTCTGTAAATCTAAAATTAATCTGAATATAAAGTTTATTTAAAAATTACCTTCACACCTATTTTTTTAAAGTCCTTTGATGTATGTATAAGAGAAAAGCCTCCTGTCTCACGTTGCCACCCTCTAGAGAGAAAGCAACCATGACTATTTCTATATCTCCTCCTTTTCATTCATAGCAAGTGGACAACAGTAAGAACTTGTGATTTGCCAGCAATGTGAGGATTCTCTGGTATTTTGCAATGAGACATAGTAGAAGCCCCATTCATAGTTATTGTTTGCCTCCATAGTTTTCTTTTACAGAAAGGTATAATTATAATTTTTTTTTTCTACTAGGAAATAATCTGACAGCTCTCCCTAGTGGTATCTATAATCTTTTTTCACTGAAGGAGATAAATTTTGATGACAACCCTTTGCGGAGACCTCCAATGGAAATCTGTAAAGGAAAACAGCTGTATACCATAGCACGCTATCTACAGAGGTCAGATGAAAGAGATGGTAGGTGACGAGTGAGTGATTGATTTCTCACATGTCATTTCTAGTATCATCTGTAAATAAAAGATAGTTTGCTTTAATGAAGGCTCCCTCGTGGTACAGTGGTAAAAGTGCTCGGCTGCTAACTGCAAAGGTCAGCGGTTCAAACCCACCAGCTGCTCCGCAGGAGAAAGATGTGGCCGTCTGCTTCCATAAAGATTTCAGCCTTGGAGACCCTATGGCAGTTCTACCCTGTCCTATAGGGTCCCTATGAGATGGAATCAACTCGATGGCAGTGGGTTTGGTTTGCTTTAATGAGAGGCTCTCAATCTGCGCAAGACATTAAAATATTTATCATTTTCTCTTTTCTGAAGGTTAGAAGTTTATTTTGAAAATGCAGATTGATTAATCCAAGTCCATACAAACTGGGCTGTTGAAAACAGGCAAATCTGAGTAAAGGGGTGGGCTGCAACCCATCCCCTGGCCTCACTGCCCTTCAATAGGTTTTCATCATGGTGGTGGCCACTGTCAAGGAATCCACATGCTGATTTTGTCCTTACCTCTGATCTGCCTTACCATACGCAGTTGTTCTAAATGACATATTTGGCCTTGAAGGAAGTCCACAGAAGCCAGTTAGTTTTTGACCCACTGTGACCACCTGTCTGCAACCTGTGGACAGCTTCATCCTTTCTGTCCTTGAGCTCTACTTTGCATGTCCTTGATTATTCTCAGAGGAAAACTTCACTGTCCGATTCTTTTTCTGGGGCTGAGGTCCCAGCAGCTAGGCTTTTCCCTAGGGACTCTGACTTTACCACTTATTGTTATTTTTCAGAATGGATCCAGATTTTTGTTCTTCAGTTTAATAAAGGGGACCAATAAGTATTGATTTCAATTTGGGGAAACTGAATATCTAAAACTGTCCCCCCAAATCACTCTATCATGCATTCTGCCTATGTACCAGCATAATATGTGTGAGGAAGAGATGAACTAGAAATGTACAGTCCTCTTTAAGCCACAATATACATCCATATGCATGACTACCATCCAAAAGCTTTTGCGAGATGTAGGCCTCACTGACAGAAGGAAACGAAGATAAAAAATTAAAAGTCATAGTAGCCATCTTCTCTAACTTGCTGTGCAAGATGGTTCTGCTAATTAGTAAGGGATATTTTATGATAACTTTATTTCTATGAAATAAAGTTTTTTACTGGTTTCCAAGGATCCATAAAATATTTCTTTTAGGTACAGTGCTTTAGAGAAGGCTGTAAAGTTACATGATTGAACCTCCTTGCTAAAATTCTGTCTCTCAAGTTCCTGAGGAAGGATTTATGTGGCTCTGGCTTCTTTGGGGAAAGTGCAATAGGCAATGGAAACAGGTTAAAGTCAACAAAAATGAGAAAACCTCACACATTTACCTCCTATCTCTATGCCTGACGAAGCTTTTACTGCAGGAGGTCCTGAAAATGAAGGCTTAAGGACTTGAGAGGGTGGGGATGAAGTCAGCAATTAACAAAGAGTCCCTTTCTCAAAATTTTACCGAAGGGATTGGAATTTTCATTTATATAGTTAGCATACAGTACAGCCTGAGGGATTAATAGTATGTATAAAATAAAATAATAGAAAGCAAAGAACATGTTTGAGATGATTAGAGGGAGATGGGAGATCTCTAGTTTTTGAAAATTCCCACATTAGCTTGGTCAACAAAAAATGGATCTAGTTCAAACTAACTGGAAGCTTTTTTTTTTCTTTTCTAAACTAAAAACAAAATACTTACACATAAGCCAACATTCATTAAATAAATGATTTGAATATAATGTAAAATATGCTATCTATATTTATAGTAGATGTGAAGTTGATTTCTCAAGTTAATACATAAACAAACAAATAAAAAAATCCAGAGCTGAAGGAAGAAGCTAACTTCATTTCAAATAGATTCTGAAAACATTAAAGAAAGGGTTAGGGAACCACTTTGAAGTTTCTTATAATAGCCTTTAATAGCCATTTTAAACTGCAGGATTATTCAGATTTTTGAAGAAATGTAAATGGTTCAAATTTCAGTTTGTATATTAGATCTGCGTTTTAGTTTTTAATTTTACCCGATACATACATTTGATAGACGCATAAAAATACAATCTGTAGAGTAAGAAAACTAGATACAATATTAATTCAAAATACAGTATCTTTTTCAAAGGAGATGGTTTAAATTTTCTTTTATGTTCATTTGTAGAGAAAATCTTAGAGAAGATCTTCGTAATAATTGCCAACCACATCACTGAAACACATTTTGAATTTTTGTGTCAAAAACTCAATCTGGCAAACTTAGAAACTAATACCCAGAGGTATGTATGAATGTGATATAAATTTATTATCATATTCTGATTCATATTATGTTGATATTACATGGTTTGTGAAGCATTCATATTAATATAACCTCTAATTTCTATAGAAGACTGAATATCGATTATATATTTGAGACCCACGTTAGGAGGCCTTATAGCATAGTAGCTAAAAGAGCAAGGGCTCAGAAGACAGACTACTTGGCTTTAAATCCCAGCTCAACCACCTACTAGTTTTGTGACTTTGGGGCATGGCTTTAACTCTTCTGTGCCTCAGTTTCTTCACTGGTAAAATGGATACACTTACTAAGAGAGTTGTCATGAGGATTAAATGAGATTAAGTCATAAAAAAGCATGAATTAGAGTAGTAGTAATTACTGGTTTATAGTAAATAATCCACAGTTAATATTATTTTGAAGTCTTGAACAAATCTATCTTAGCATTGAACGTATAGTGTACTGTTGATTTTCTATAAGAAAAAAAGGCATAGGCGGAGCTAACATTCACTTTCTATGTGCCAAGCTCTGTGCTAAACTTTTATACGGACTCTCTTTACCAATTAATTTAATCCTCACTGTAATTTGATAAATTCATTTGAAAACCTAGATGTACAATATTTAAATAGTTTAAAACAGTGTTCTCAATTGCTAATGAAATTAATTATTTTTTAAATTTTCAGCAATTTTACATTAAGTGAAAGAGTCCACCAAGCTCTTGAGTTATGGAAAACAGAAAGTAATAATTTGTCACTATCTGCAACTGCTTTAAGAGACCAGCTGATCCGGACACTAACTATGATAGGAGCTTATGAAATTATAGACAAAATCACAGCCTTACAACTTTTTACACGTGCAATTAAATTCTAAACAGTAGATGCATAATAAAAACAGAACTTATGATGTACTTATATACTTGGAACTAGATTTTTTAAATTATCTCACTTTATCATACAACACTCTCTTTATGGATTCCTAAGAGATTACGACAATTGATGGTTACCACTCTAATGTAATAGCAAAACGTTACAGACACTGTTTTGTGTATTTGTTCTGTTGCCTTGGAATGATGATCTTGAATTTGAAAAAGAAGTAATTCCATTTAAAAATTCTTTGTTATATAATGCTTTTGTACAACTCAAGATCTGTAGGTAATAAGATCAGTGCTTTCCATTGGCGTTAGAAAGTAGAGCAGTTTTTTTTAAGATACTGGCTTAACAACTGAAATGAATGTAGCCATCCCTACTTTTTCTCCATTAGAAGTGGGATAGCTTTGTTAAACATAAACTGGAGCCAGAACCACTAATGCTCTAATAGAGCATCCAGACAAGAGTGGTGGAGTGGCCATCTGTTATCTTACCTTCCATGTCTAGAAAGGGAGAACACTTCTCCTGGTGTCAGAAACAATTCTGTATCCTTAATAGGAGTCTCAGAAAATACATCTTGTCATACACCTAGACAACGGCTCAGCTAGTGTATAAATGCAGGCTACTTTCACTTCTCCATATTTATTTCTTCCCAAATATGCATGCAATCTAACCTCAACTATGGCACATTCTTCCTTTTATCCACCTTTATTCAATCTTTAATCCCAACCTAAACTTCACAGGGGAGGTAATCAGATCCTCTCAAAGTCAGGCTGGCATGATCCTGTCACCACCATTTACTCCACCTTTTCAATAGTGGGGTACATGTGTTTGTTTCTAAGTATCCCCTACCCTTTATAGAACACAAACACAACAGCATAGTAGGAAGTGTGTATGTATTTATTACCTTAACAATTTCAAGGCTTTTGCCTCCTCAGAATTTAGAGTTTTAATTGCTTTTCATTGATAATTTATCTGAATATAACCCTGCTCAGTATGCCAATATTGTCAGGAGTAACTATTAGGGTTTTTTTTTTTTTTTTGGTAGACAGTGGTAGTCATCAATAGTTTCAGGTGGGTGAAGGTTAGTAATATTCTGTCAGAACCTCATTCTAGCACTGAAACAATTCTTTAGACTATATTCCTCCACACATTGGTAGAAACAAGCAGGTAAAAAAAAGAATCATGTATATAATCTGTTTTATAAGTGCACTGAAATCCCAGCTCTGTCCCTTTTGATGTTCTAACTAAACCTCTGAGGAACAATTCATTGGGGGCAAATGTAACGATATACTAGAGGCAAGATTAACTAAATTAACTGACTAAACTTACAGTGTATCAAGCAACCAGAATCCTAAGTGGACACAGGAAAATTCAGAGATTGACCCCAGAGTGTCATCCTTAAGGGAACAGGCTATTGGGCTGGACAGAATTTTTATATTCAGGAATATCTCTAAAATATTTTAACTACATATATCGAAAACCTCTAATTTCTACAATGAAAACCCATTTTTAACATATATATTGTATCATATTATGTTAACATAGGGGCCCTGGTAGTACAGTGGTTAAATCACTCATCTGCTAACCAAAATGTTGGTGGTTCAAACCCACCAGCCTCCCTGCCGGAGAAAGATGTGGCAGTCTACTTTTGTGTAGATTACAGCCTTCAAAACCCTATGGAATCCACAAGAATCCACAAGAAAGCTACTGGAACTAAGAGAAGGTTTCAGCAAAGTTTCAGGATATAAGATAAACATACAAAAATCAGTTGGATTTCTTTACACCAACAAAGAGAACCTTGAAGAGGAAATCACCAAATAAATACCATTTAAAATAGCCCCCAAGAAGATAAAATACTTACGACTAAATCTAACCAGAGACGTAAAAGAGCTATACAGAGAAAACAAGACACTACTGCAAGAAACTAAAAGAGACCTGCATAAGTAGAAAAACATACCTTGCTCATGGATGGGTAGACTCAACATAGTGAAGATGTCAATGTTACCCAAAGCAATCTACAGATACAATGCAATCCCGATCCAAATTTCCACCAGCATTTTTTAATGACATGGAGAAACAAATCACAACTTCATATGGAAGGGGAAGAGGCCCTGAATGAATAAATAAAGCATCCCTCCAGAAGAAGAACAAAGTGGGAGGCCTTACACAACCTGATTTTCGGACCTATTATACTGCCACCGTAGTCAAGACAGCCTGGTACTGGTACAACAACAGATACATAGACCAATGGAACAGAGTTGA